ACCACATGAGCTTACTTGTTCACTAGTGGAAAAATAATAAATTAAAAGAAAACGAGAATAGTTTGGGAACATCTCTATAACCATTGCGTATCCATATCTGATTAGTACTTAGAGTAGTATTTTATGGATTCACAGATATGGATAGGAGTTGGATGTTCGGAAAACGCACTACATTCCCATATATGCAAGGGGTTCAAGAGTTTATACAATGTGCTGAAGAAAATATGAGTAAAAAGGGGGAGGACTTTATTGTGTGCCCGTGTTGCGATTGTCAGAATTTTAAAAGATATCGTAGTTCTGATGAAGTGATGAGTCATTTGATACGTCATGGTTTTAAGGGAGGATACACAAGATGGATATGGCACGGTGAAAGCTTAATTCCTAGTACAAGTGTAATTAAGGAAACTTATATAGATAGTGAAACTCATGCACACGGTAAAACTAAAGCAAATTGTCAAACTCTTGAAGATAATGAGGAGAATAATGCATCTCATGTTAGCAATGATGAGAATGATGAAGATAATGATCGAATAGATGAAATGATGTGTGATGTGCAGGAAGATTTTAGTGAAATGCCTCCTGAATTTAAAAGTTTGTTTGACAATGCTGAAAAACCGTTGTTCCCTGGAAGTACTAAATTTACTAAGTTATCTGGAGTGCTTAAATTATATAATTTAAAAGAAAAGAATGGATGGAGTGATAAGAGTTTCACGGGATTATTAGAACTAATAAAAGACATGCTTCCGGGTGACAATGAACTTCCTAATTCAACTTACGAAGCAAAAAAAAATGTTGTGTCCTTTGGGTATGGACATTGAGAGGATACATGCATGTCCAAATGATTGTATTTTGTATTGGAAAGATTACAAAGACTTGCATGTGTGTCCAAAGTGTGGAGCATCACGTTATAAAAACAAAGATGCATGTAAGAATAAGAAAGGTCCCCCAGCCAAAGTATTATGGTACTTACCCGTAATACCAAGATTTAAACGCATGTTTGCTAATCCAAGAGAGGCAAAAAATTTGCAATGGCATGCTATTGGAAGAAAAGAAGATGGAAAACTGAGACATCCAGCTGATTCACCTCAATGGAGAAATATTGATAGGAGGTGGCCTGATTTCGGTTCTGAAAATAGAAATCTTAGACTTGGACTGTGTACTGATGGAATGAATCCTCATGGTAACATGAGCAGTCGACATAGTACTTGGCCTGTTCTTTTAGTAGTTTACAATCTTCCTCCTTGGTTGTGTATGAAAAGAAAATACATCATGTTGTCGTTGTTGATATCAGGGCCTAAACAGCCAGGAAATGACATTGATGTATATCTAGAGCCACTTGTTGAGGATTTAAAGATTTTGTGGAATGAAGGTGTGCCGGTGTATGATGCTTATACTCGAAGCAGATTTACCTTACGTGCAATAATTTTTTGCACAATAAATGATTTCCCAGCTTATGGTAACCTATCGGGTTATACTACTAAAGGAGCTAAGGCATGCCCAATTTGTGAAGATGAAACTCCCAGTCTATGGTTGAGTAACTGTAAAAAGAATGTGTTCATGAGCCACAGGACATTTCTCCCTACGGGTCATCCTTATCGTAAGAAGAGAAAGGCTTTTAATGGAAATCTTGAGACTCGAGTTGCTCGTTTACCTTTATCTGGAGATACTATTTATGAACGTGTTAAGAATATTGAAGTTGATTTTGGTAAGACTTGTAAGACTAGTCAAACGACTCCTTGGAAGAAGAGGTCTATATTTTGGGATCTACCATATTGGGAGCATTTATCAGTTAGACACTGTCAAGAAAGACAGTACTCTATCTCAAGAAAGAGAGTCAACAAAGACTCAAGTATGAGAGTCAATATAGACTTGATAGAAAGAAAGAGAATCAAGAGAGACTCAAGAAAGTAACAAAGAAACCTCCATAGAAAGTACTCTATTTTATATATGAGTGTATGATTATATTATTGCACTAGATTGCATATGAATATGAGTATATCGTTGCACTAGATTGCATATGAATATGAGTATATCGTTGCACTAGATTGCATATGAGTATGATTATATTGTTGCACAAGATTGCATAAGAGAATGAGTATAATGTTGCACTAGATTGCATATGAATATGAGTATATTGTTGCACAAGATAATTGAAGCATGTGCTCCATCTCAACTAAAAGTCTAAGCTGATAGTTGGATTGCACATTAACGGCTAGATGCTCACACGCCCCCTCAGGTCTGCGGTGGGTTCCAAGCAACACGTGAACCGGTAAACCGTAGTCGCTTATGAGTGGCGCTGAGATTCGAACCCATAACCTTTGGTCTGGCTCTGATACCAAATTGAAGCATGTGCTCCATCTCAACTAAAAGCCTAAGCTGATAGTTGGATTGCACATTAATGGCTAGATGCTCACAAAGATTGCATAAGAGAATGAGTATAATGTTGCACTAGATTGCATATGAGTATGATTATATTATTGCACTAGATTGCATATGAATATGAGTATATTGTTGCACTAGATTGCATATGAGTATGATTATATTATTGCACTAGATTGCATATGAATATGAGTATATTGTTGCACTAGATGGTATATGAGTATGATTATGTGGTTGCACGAGATTGCATAAGAGTGTGAGTATATTGTTGCACTAGATTGCATATGAGGATGATTATATTATTGCACAAGATTGCATATGAATATGAGTATATTGATGCAGGAGACTGCATAAGAGTATGATTATATAGTTGCACGAGATTGCATAAGAGTATGATTATATAGTTGCACAAGATTGCATAAGAGTATGATTATATGGTTGCACTATGTTGCATATGAGTATGAAAATATTGTTGCAATAGATTGCATAAGAAGCATGATCATAATGTTACACATGATTGTATATGAATAGAGCATTGTAAAAGATTGTTTAATGAGAAGTTTAGCTTGAGATATTCTTTGAGCATGATTATCGTGTTGTAGTAAAAGTTCCACTATCAAGTTATGTGATAAGAATGTGAAAGCATGTAAATACCTGTGGTATAGTCCTTTAACATAATCGTATCTGTAAGCATGAATTGCTTGATAAGCTATTTGAGAAGTCTATATGTTGATGAATATACGTGATCCGTCTTATACATATATAAGCATGCCAGCTGATATTATTAGGTGCAAGCATTTTGGAAGTATATGATAATCAAAAGATGATTTGAGATTAGCTTACTGCTATAAAGATATCAAATGAGGTCAAAGTATATGCTAGAATGCTTTACAGGGTTGAGTGTGGTTATACTTAGGTTCGTGCTAACGAGTGTTTTTCCTGTTTGTCTATTTGTTGCTTGCAAAACCCCTTTCAGGTGGGCCCAACAGTGAGAAGAGATCGAGTTAGATTAGTCTCTTAGTTTGAGATGTCTAAACTCTAGTTTTATTTATGATCACGTTATGGATTTAGACTTATGACTTATGTTGGAGGATTGATGTAGACTATTTTGGGGTGACGTTTTCCCCCTTATCTTTCCCAGTATTTATTTCTAGTATTCAGACTTAATCTTATTTGTAGTTTTACCCCTTTTAGCCTGTGCAATCACCAAAGAATGGTGATTGTGGCGGTGACACTCCCACTACTTATCTTCTAGGTTTCCGCTGCATAGTTTATGATAATGACTGTTTAGAGATGTAATTAAGAGTTAGAAAAGTGGGGTATTACAGAAGAGGCCAAGCCCAAAGGAAGAAAAGCCCGGGCGAAGCATGGACCGAGTCAAGAAGTCGGCCCGACCCCGAGGTCGGGGCGAGGGCTCGGTCTGCGCGAAGAACAAAGAGCCATTGGAAGCATTTAAGAGGCCGTTAAAGAGCCCAGTAATGGCAGCCCAACGGCTCTAAGGAATAACTAGTGATTAATCGGTCAATTAAGGCCTTAAATGTGTGTTCTAAGTTGAAATTCAAGAGAGGCTTACTATAAAAGGCCCCTCACAAGTTGTTAGAAGGGGCGAGTCCGTGCCGAGAGAATAGAGACCCACTTTCACTAAAAGTGCTTATTTCCTTCTATTTTTGAAAGGTGAATCCACCAACCACAGTTGTGTTGGACCTCCCTGGGCCCAAAAAAACCCTAAAACCAACACTGGTGCCGTCCGTGAAGATCGTAACGAAAGGTTACGACCGTTCTTGAGCATTGAGAGGAGAATTGGAGACAAAGTGAAGAGACGAGCAAGCAGGAAAAGGGAGTCTTACGAGATGTCTGAGGGACGAAGCCGCGCCTCCAATCGTAATGGGGTGCCGGAAGCAGACTTGAGAGATCAGTTGAACCAACGGAATTTGCAGAGTCAGGGAGACGACTCAACGCCCCGGGACCGACCTCCGACGATGATACCTCTCACTCCCGAACAAATCCAGGCCATCGCTCGTGCGGTAGCGGCGGAGACCCGGGAAAGGAGAGAATCGTCGGTCTCCCGGCCGCCAAATGTACAGCCGCACAATTAGCAACTACCCCAGAGGTCGGATAGACGCGGGCGAGAGGATCAAAGAGCAGAGGATCTGCCAGCACGGTCGGTCCATTCGAGATTAGACCCGAATATAACGCGTCGATCGGCGAGAGAACGGCTGGGAGGAGGAGAACCCAGTCGCCTGCGGGCGGGCCAACGAAATCGAGAGGCCGTCCGAGAGAGAACTCATACCAGAAGAACTCGGACTCGGGCACGACAGACCGAGGGGCCCACTCGCAACGAGGAAAGGCAGGCCGAGTCGCAAGTCGGGGAGAGCACCGAATCCACGGGGAACCACACCAGGAACGCTGGCGAAGTGGCTCACCTGGCTCAGGAGTTACGCAATTTGAAGGAGCAAGTGGAAGGCAAAACCAAGTCCCCGGGTCGGACGTTACTCACCGCCTTGCCCTTCTCGGCTGAAATCATGGCGTACAGGATACCCGGTGACTTCAAGTTTCCGGAGTAGGCCACTTTCGACGGGTCTGGTGACCCACGCGAGCACCTCCTGAGCTATCAGGCAAAAATGCAAGTTCTAGGGGTCAAGGACCCAGTCATGTGCCGTGCCTTCTTGCCGACCCTGAAGGGATCGGCCAAGAGATGGCTTGTGGCCTTACCCACAGGCTCGATCCGCAGCTTCGAGGAGTTGGCCGACCGCTTTATGAGTCACTACGCCGCTAACATAAAACCACAGAAGAACCTAACGCATCTGGAGGATATCCATCAAGATGAGGGTGAAACCCTCAAAGCGTACCTGGCTCGGTGGCAAAAGGAAATCCAATCTATCGAGGAGGTGGAAGACCAAACTGCACTTACCTTCTTTATCGAGTCGCTTCGATCCGGACAACTATATCAAGATCTGCGGGACAACCGGCCGGCTACCTACGCGAAGGCCATTCACATGGCCAACAAGCGAGCCAACACGGAGCAAGTGTAACACCCCGTGTTACGACCCCTGACCCAAACTAATTATTTAATTACTTACCCTAAAAAGAGAATTAAAATCCACTAATTAACTAAAAAGGGTCCACCATAGTCTATGGACCCTTTTCCCTAAAACCAACCCCTTAGTCCTGTAAGGAATAGAATTAGCAAGCCCATACCATTTAGACCCTAATTGGGACTCTTAGATATATAAGTAGGGGCATAGGAGGCACCTAGAATCCACACCACAATAACTTTCACCACACAAGAATTCCCAAGAATTCCCATAAGAGAAATCAAGAAAGAAGAGATCTTAAAGAAAGACCCTTCATAGCCAAGGAATTTAATTAAGGCTAAAAGGTAACCCATGTCTCAACAAAACCTATTTTCCTTGCTATAATCTTCTCCTTTGGTTCCTTCTATATACTTGTGTCTTGATGAAATCTTCTCTGATAATTACGATATGATCTTGATGATTGATGAGATGATTTTATGTGTGATCTTGATGATGATAAGAGGATCTTGATGATTGTGTGATATTCTTGATAAATCTTGATGTTTCTTGATATTAAAGATGAACTATGATCTTGATGATTTAAATATGATTAGAGCCCTAGGTTGAATCGTGGATTTCGTATTGGGATGTTCTTGGTATATTTGGGTGGGAATTCACATGTTCGGGTGTTGATTATGTTTAGAAGTCATGATAGGATGTGTTCTATGTGATTCTTGCTTTTGATCCGTTAATTGTCTACGTGATGTCATCAATTGCGTTTAAAAGTGTCTAAGCATGGTTTCGGGTTCCACGGAGGATCCCGGGACGTATATTTTGGAAAATAGTCAGTGGGGGGTAGGGGGACCCGCCACCTACCCGCTGCCCGAAGTAACGCCACCGGCAGCGGGCAGCCGGCGGGCAAACGACTGCCCGTCGGGCACCCGCTGCCCAGAGGTCCATCGTCGGCGGGTGGCCCTCCACCTGCCGGCCACCCGCTGGAATTTTGCCCACCTTGGGACTTCGACTTCCGCGTTTAATGTTCCCCAACCCCCGTGGTGTCCCAACGGACTCCGTTTGTCGTGCATGAGTCTAGTTGATGTTTCGGGTACCGTTCGTAGGATAACAGAGTCTCGTATATCGCATACTAGTTGAATCGGTAACCTGTTGGCCTAGGAGGAAGATGTATGAACCCCTTAGGACTATTCTTAGTATGTGGATAATCACGCTTAAGTTTATTTATACGCTTTCCCCCTTTCCCAATGTGCCAATATGTGTTTACTATGTGTTATGTGTGCATGATACCCCAATTTGGTTGCGATCAAATTGGTTATACACGAGCTGCGGTTCGTTATCTTGGCTGCGGTCAAACTGGTTACTCATGAGCTGCGGTTCATTCTCCTGGCTGCAGTCAGTGACTCACTTCTAGGGCTGCGGTCCACATGGGCCTCGTGTGCTATGGTCCACCGACTGGACGCGCCAGGCGGTGTGTAGGGCCACTAGCCCGAGGAAGGCCATAGTCCATCGAATGAGTTGTCAGGCGGTGTGTATGGCTATGGTCGGCTGCGATCCACCGAGTGTATGTGCCAGCGGTGTGTAGGGTCGTAGTCCCCAAAGATCATCGCCCACCGAATGAGTCCCTCAGGCGGTGTGTAGGACTTTGATCAGCTACGACCCACCGACTGAGCTCGTCAAGCGGTGTGTAGGGTCGCAGTCCCCAAAAGAGGATCACAGTCCACCGACTGAGCGCGTCAACGGTGTGTAGGGCTGTGATCCGCCGTTGAAACTATCGACGGTCTATACAATTGGCTGCGGTCAATTACTTCATGCTGCGGTATGAGGTAGGGTGTTGCGGGGCCGTGTTAATGCTATATGCACTAACCCTCATGTTTGGGGCATGCGATTGGTCCCGTGGCGCCACCAAAGTGTGCTTGTGTGACAAGGATGTTGATTGAATGATGATGTGAATGATTTTAAAGGGAACTGTGACAATACATGTTTTTATGATGTTATCTCTATATAATTGATTATCATTGTTTAATGTGCTTATCCCTACCTGTCGAGTCTATTCCTGGTTTTAAAAGCTAGAGTCTCCTAAAGTATATATCCTCCTGCTTAAAGAGAGCAGCCGGCCACATAGTCGGGAAGGTAAAAGGAGAGAAGGAAGGGCGAACAAAGAAGAAGTAGGGTTTCCAGTCCTTTTCGGAATCAGGAAGACCCTTGAAAAGAAGACGCCCGGGTCGGGCGGAGACTTGGACGAAGCCCTTGGATTGAGAGCCGACCTTGTTCACAGTGAACAAGCACCGGAACAGTTCCATATCGGGCTCACAGAGCCACCAGCGACAGAGCACAATGAAACAGACAAGGAGGCGATGGGAGTTGGGTACAAGCTGACCCGGAACGAGGTTATAATAGTGGAAGAAAAGGGAGAGAAATGGATGAGCTGGCACTCGAAAGCCAAAGGCCACCGAGTGCAAGTGGACACCGATATAACCCTCCGTCGGGTCAAAAATGGACCGGTTTTCCGGCTGAAGAACGACGGCCGACGGACCGAGGAGATAGCGGGCCATCTCAAGGTCCGTCGCCGATATCAATGACGAGGTATCCGCCGGAAGGGCTATTAGTTCGAATTTACCCTTCGACCGTCGAAGGCCGTCAGGCAAGGCCGCAACCGTTGTTAGTGGGGTCGGACTTAAGGGCATAGCCACCCCGGAGGAAGAAGGGGTCGGCTGAGGAGAAGACGGGGAAGGGAGGTCGGAAGGAGCCTCCCGACGGCGAGGAGACGAAGAAGAGGATGAAGAGGAAGACGAGGAAGAAGTGGCGGAGGACACCGCCGGACGATGGGAGGAAGAATAAGAAGAGGACATAACGGAAATACAGTCACCAACCTGGAAAGATTCTGGCAATAGGCGATGAAGAAAATGGGGGTCACGGATGGCTTGATGTGCTCTCTGAAACAAAGTGTACAAAAGAGAAAGAGTGGAGGTGTATTTAAACTGGGAAGAATCCCAAGAGACCGCCACGTGTCGATCACCCATTGGGGGATAAGAGAGGTCGATTGGATGTGAAGAGACGGCTGCATTAAATACCCTCGAAAGACGGAACGACAGTTAGGGCTAGGGTTAGCCTAGACGGCGCGTCTAGGGCCCTAGGTGCGAGAAAAGTCAGAATGACCCGGCCTACCCAATCCAGGCCCATTCTCGTCCATAATTTTCGGGCCGCCCCAGTGTCTAAGCCAGATAGCCTGAGGATCGATCTCAGGGCCTGCAGAGTGAAGGGGTCGGCACGCATAACCCGACTCCGGTATCTGACCAGGCGAGTAGTTGGAGCTCCGGACCCGGAGTCGCCGTCGACCCCGCGGTCAACCAAGTGGGGTCGACTGCCCCTAATAAGGAGTTAAGTCAGCTGAAGGAAGCTCGGCAACAGCGATAAAATAAAACTCTTTCTCCGAGGACAAAGAAAAACAAGACAAACGTTTATTGATCAAAGATAGATAGGCATACATCCTGGCCGTGTTACAAGCTAAAAAAGCATAAAAGCGAGATCACGGACTGGTCTTTTCCTCTGTCGGATGAGCAGGAGGTGGACCCTCTAGGAACAACTGAGGTCGGAAAGGGGGCAAAGTTGGATCTGGTTCCGGCACGTCATCCACGTATACCGGCGGCTTCCTGTCATCAACCATTTGAAGAGGTCTTTCGAGAGCACTGGGGGACATGGCCACCCCGAAGAGTGGAGGAACCTCCCATACTTCCTCCTCGTCCACTCCCTTAGGACACACTCGAACATTTTCATGACTCATGAGTGTCTAAGAGGCATTTCATCAAACATATTGGGTTCTTAACATCCCATAGTTCCCTTTTTTCAAAGGTGGAGCATGGCTAATTATATTAACTCCTTGAGTCTAGATTAAGTAATCACATCCCAATCAAAACCAAATCATTTTAGTTAACATTATCAAGTCAAGTCTCATCACTCATATTCAACTAATTCAAAGTCATGTTCACATAAACATAATCCTCATCCCTATCCAATCCCCTTCCTAGGAGATTTCTCACACATGATTATTATGGAAACAAGCATAGATTCAAAGACAATAGAATTCCATAACTACAATAAGCAATGAATCCAAGTTGCAAAGCAAACAAGTAACAAATTACAATGAACTTAAAGAATGAAATTGGAATTGACTTAGCTAATTAGAAGTAGAATTGCAGCTGGAAACAAGAAGTAAATCCTTAGTCTCTTCAACACTTGTTTCCTAAATAGAAATAGAAATTGAATCTAACTAGACATTGTAATGTGAATTGAAATCAAAGTGAAAGTTTAAGCGATAAATTTCATAGCCAGGGTTCTAAAAATTGAGAAAAATGAAAATGTCTAACTCCCCAAATGGAAAACTAACTTTTTCTATTTATACTCTTGGATTTAGCATGCACGAGGCCTCTCAAGAGTGTGATAGACCTCATGATGGCTTTGACTTCTTCTCTGAAGTTTCTTCCCACAATAGCCTTCGCGTGTATGGCGTCCAACATTATAGCATAGTCTATGTTTTGAAGTTGGTCTCACGAAGCTCCTCACATGTGTGACATCCTTCATGATAGCATAGTCCACTTTATGAAGTTGCATCTCACGCCACGCCTCACGGGCGTGAAAACCTTCGTGACAGCACGTACTCTTCATCTTACCTCCACCTTACTTGTCTAATTTGAATCCAAATTGCCTTGGATATAGCCTTTTTTGCCTTCAAACCTTGGTGTATTCCCAAACTTGTTTCTTCATACACAATGAATCAAATAATTGGTCTATGTGAGCAATATTAAAGTAATTCATATCCAAAATTGATCAAAATATGCATAACAAAGTAGCACAAATGAACATCTATCACTCTACATGCCGCCACCCAAAAAAATATTATATTTAGGGGTTGAACAGTTACTTATGAGAAAAATGTAATACTAATCATGGATAAATTGATTCGTTGTTACTTATAAGGGAAAATGTAATACTTATGAGGAAAAATG